GAATTTAATGATTTGTTGATATTAATCATGTATATTAATTTTAAATTAATTGAAATATATTTAATTAATTTATTAATTAATTAAAATTTAATATTTTTAAATATATGTTAAAATAAAATTTTTAATTTAATAATTATAAATATTAAATTAACTTAAAAATTAATATATATAATTTATATCAATAAATCATTAAATCTAACATTTAATTTTTTTAAATATTTATTCAAAGACATGTTTTTTAAATTAGTATTTTAATTTTTGTATAGGTACGAAACTGTGATGCAATATTCGGTCAAATTATAAACAGAATTGTAAAATTAAGATTGTCCGTACCATGTATAGTTTTTTTTTCAACCATTAATGAATTATTATTATTATTATTATTAAAAATAATAATAATTATATTAATAATATTAATTATTGTTTTTTAAAAAAATAAAAAAGTGTCAGATGTAAAATTCAAATTTTATGTTACTAGAAATATGACACGAATTAATTATTTATAGATTTAAATGAAAATAGTTTAATTTTTTTTATATAAGACAATAAATTTAAATTTTATGAATGAAAAGATAAATATTAAAAAAAATTTATAAAATTGGAAATAATTTAATTTTAAATTAATAAAAATATAATATAATTACTTAATACAAAAGGTTTGATCCTGAAGTAAAAGAAAAACTGAGCATTTGACTCGGTCAGCTGATTGGGCTATTATTAGCTTTTTTAAAAAGAAGCAATTAATGAATTAAACAAAGCTCCAAAGTGTGGGCCTAATAATAACGAATCAAATTCGTTGGAGCAATCTCATATTTGACCAATTCTACTTTCCAAACGACCCTGGGGCCTACCTTCGGAATACTTGCATTTTAAGGGTGGGTCTGCTGTTTCCTTCGCCCAAATTTCTCCGGGAATCAGTGGAAAATGGCCTAATCCAGCAGGTGTTTTGGACTTGGTTATTTTATTAGCAGGTGTTTTGGATTTGGTTATTTTATTAGCGTCTGAAAAGAGTGGAAAAACCCATAAGTTTACAATTGGTAGGAAGAGGTCGACTTTAGTTAGCCAAAATTTAGTTTATTATTCCCTTAAATATATATATATTTTAATTACTAGAGTATTTTTTTTTGTATTAACCTTTCAATATTCGGTAATCACATTAGATCCCGATTAATTCAGAATCGAGCAGTATTAAACACTATTTAAGGAGAAACTCTTCCGGCATTTATTTTTTCATTCAAAAAATTCGAACTCGAGATCATACTTAAAAAAAATTAAGTTCATTCCACTTAAACTAACAAATCATTAATTAATTACTAAAGTGTTTGGAGTTAGTTTATACATACTTAGAAAATGATCCACTTTCGTTGATTTGATCAAATATAATTATTTAAGTTGAAATTAAAGAATTTATAAAAAATTATTTTTTATTAACTTAAAAAAATCAAATTTTAATTAATAAATGATATAAACAAATTCCTTGCTAGTTAAACCATAAGTCATCAGATAATAAATGCATTTATGGGTAGCAACTCAAGTGGCAGTCTCAGCTGAGCACTTCCGAATATATATCTAAATGGGCGGTTTGAATCCCTCAGTCCCCAAACTGACTCTCGTCTAACCAAAAGGGGAAAAAAAAAAATCAACTAAATACAAATAAATTCTCTTAGCAGTAGTCATAAGTCAAAACAAACACAGGCAAACCACTACAACAATAATCAAATAATTTAAATCTCATTCCTTTAGTAGTCCAGTCCCATGATGTTTTATATGCAACTTATTCTTTGATGACATGGACGTTCAATAGTCCGTGCTACAATGGTACTACAACATACTTAATCCTAGTGAACGAGAATTGTCTCGAGCTCAATTTTAATTAACCCTTGAACCTACTGCATATAGAGTTGCTTTACGGAAATTCAGATCAGTAACTAATTGGGAGACGAATGGTTGTTCAAATAAATAATGAAAATAAATTTCTTTATTCCTTAACTTATCTCAAAGTGCATGCTACGTGAATACAATTTAAACCTATAATCTCTTACTCTACTTAGAAGGAGATTAATACCATTAAGCCACTCAAGTTGTTGGCTTCTTTCTTTGCACCCTTAGATTTTTAGGGATGGAGCCAATGAAGGGTAAGGGTACAATCACCCCCTAATCTCACATGACATGTGAGTACAACTCAAAACTAAGACCTCTTATTTTACTTAATTAGAGAGATTAATACCATTAAGCCACTCAAGTTATTGGCCCCTTTCTGTGCACCTTTAGATTCTCACTATCGTGAATTAAGGTTTTAGGGATGGAGCCGATGTGGGGTAAGGGTACAACCAACTTAGGGTGGTAATTTGCCTTGACCCCTGTGAGGTTCCACGGAAATCCCTGCCACAAGGGCAGGGTGGGAAGGAATATTCATCCTCACGAGGCAAGGATAGGGGCATTTTTCCCCTGCGAAATTACGTAGGGAATTCCCCACCCTGTGGAGATCCCCAACCCCACAAAAAATTAAAAAATTATATAAATTAATTTTATTTTAAATTTAGTTCAATCTATTATAGCAATACATAATATACATTTCAAACACAAATCTAATCCAATAAAAATTAAACTTAACCTAAGTATGTTGATTTAGTTATTTATGTTGGATTGATCTTTAGTTATGTTTAAAACAAATCTTTTGGTTTAGCTATTTATGTTGAATTGATCTTTATTTGTATTGGATAATTTATATTTAAAGAATTTTAGTTAATTGTACTTGAATTTTTAAAATTTTACTCATTATATTGAATATTATTAATTATATGTAAAAAATTTATATTTTGATATCAATTAGTGAAGAATAGGGATTTTCGAGGGGAATGGGAATAGGGGCTAAAATCTGCCCATTATAAAAAATTCTCGCGAGGGTACCTGTCTTCACCATTCGTGGGGATGGGGACAACGAGGGACTCCTTGACCCGGTGGAGCCCTGTTGCCATCTCTAAGTCACCCCTTAATCTTTTAAAAAATATTTCATATGGTATTTCAACTTTTATTTATTAGAAGTTTTGTTTTTAAAAGTTTAGTTACAGAGTCATTTCAAATATGCAGAAAACACTTAGAATTTAGGTAAAGAGATAAAAAAAAAAAAGAAAAAAAAAAAGAAGAGAGAATATCATTCGAATAAAAATGCACTTTATGTAATTTTGATTAGTTCAAAGTTTGAGTATTTAAAGTATCTCCTCACATATCATGCGCAAAAAAAGAAAAAAAGGTTTTTGATTCTCTACTTAACCATTTCAAATTCGAAGTTGTCTATGGTATTCTTTTTATTTTCTTACTTAATATTCTATCTATATTTATCATTCAACTTTTTAAAATCACACTATAAAAATATTTTTTCAAACACTTTAACCAATTGTTTAGGGAGAAAAGAGCTATAGACTAACAAAATTAGTCAAATTAAATACACCTTTAAATTAATAAAAAATGATATAATCAAAATTCCACATAGCAGTTTAAAATTATAATCATGATATGCCATTATATGATTGACTCTTTGTACCTAACATATATCCATTCATTTAATAACACATTATTATAATTTATAAGTATTTATCTAATTACGAAAATAATCTAGGTATAATAGTACATGACATAATAAGATTACAATTTTGATGTGTTATTATACAATTAATTTTTTTCGTTTAAGGAGTCACAAATAATATTATATGTATCAACTCATTTAATAATATATTAAAATTGTAAATTTATAATTTTACATGTTATTATAACTTTATTATTATCAATTTATTTAATGATACATCATAATTATAGACTTAAAATTTTACATAATAATATAATTATATCATTGTTGTATAATATGTACCAACTCATGCAATTTTTTGTTGGTAGAGAATTATTATTATTATTTTTGGATAAAACAGACTAACTGGTAAGAGAGCATGTGGAGAGAGGGAATAACTAAAGAACCTCCGCTCTTGAATAACTATATAGAGGAGCTATAGTGTGTTCGCTGGATGATTGCGAGATATGCAGCTGTAATTACTCGAGAATATGAGCCCATGACGTGATTTCATTTGAGCCCAGTGAACAACTACCATCTGCTGTTAACAACAGAAAAAAGCTTAATTGGGCCAATTATTATGAATGTAGAATTTGGCCCAAAAAGCAATGACACGGTAATAAAGAGCTGAGGTAGCTTTGCTTGGTTAAGAGCAATTGCTGTTGTTGCTTTTCTTTTCTTTTTTTTTCTTTTTTTTTTTTAAGCTTCTCAATTTAGCTTATACTTATTAGAGATTAGTAGATATCAATCTTGGCTTTTTAAAAATTTTAATTTAAAATTTAAAATTTTACTTTATTAAATGTTGATACTAAATTTAAAAATTGATTATATATTTTAATATAATTAGTTTTATATTTAAATACCCATATTTAATAAAATAAATTTTAAAATTTTAAATTGAATTTTAATTAAATAAAATAATGTAATTTAAGATTAAAATTTTAATTTATTTTAAGAGTTAAAACTAATAAAATAACATAAATTTTAATATAATTTAAATTATAAAACATTCTCTTAACTAAAAAAGTATTACCCAACTAAATGAGCCCTAGTGTTGTAAAGTTAGGGGCTTAAATCTTTGAATTTTATTATTATTATTATTATTATTATTATTATTTTAACATGGAATTGAGGGGATGGGAGTGTGTATTACGGTCTCCGATGAGATTTGAAACTCCAACCAAAGAGCTCTAGGAACTAAGCCTCGGGGTTGAACCCATGGGCTGCTATGGCCTGGGCCTTTTTTTTTTTTTTTTTTTCTCTTTTTAGAACATGGGAAATTGAGTAGGATGAAATTGGTGGGAAACTGGGAATCGAACCCATCAATTAAATTCAAACCAGTGTTGTTGGTATCGTTTTGTATGGATAAGTACTGTCGGTATATACTGAATTTCTAGCTTAATCGAAATGAAATATGATTGAATTTTGTTTTGGTCAAATTTCAAAATATTAATTAAATTTTGATGTACCGATATAAATTTGATGTACTGATTGGAACATCGAAATTTGATGTATCTATCGGTACATGGAAATTTCGCCGAAACACTCATGTCCAAATAAAAAAAAAAATAAAACTCCCCTTTTTAATTGTGATTTCATTGCAAATTGCAGATCTCTGTTGCTGTTCTCCACTTCTCCTCCTTTCTCATGATTCACGAATCCTGTCCTTGACTCGTTGTCGGTGGGCTGTCTCCACTTCTTCTTTGTTGCTGCCACTGCTTCCTCCTTGCATTTCTGTTTCGCGAGCTTGGAGAGTATCTTTTCAGGCATCAAAATAAGGAAATCAAAAGCCATTGCCATTCTCTGTCCTGTCCGCATCCTTAGCCCGATGAGGCCTTCTAAGATCCTTTCTTCCCAAGTTGCCAGCATCTTCTTGCTTAGCTTCTCTGGTACATTAGCCTTTATCTCTTCATCACTCTCAGTAGCCCAACTTCGTCTTTTGGGTATGAGCTCCTTTTCTTTTTTGATTTAGAATTTCAAGTTCTTAGGGTTTGACCAGTGACAGTGGGCATTGTATATGTGTCTGGCAGTGGGTGATTGTTCTTCTTTTTTTATTTCTCTGCATTTTACAATTTGCATGCATTTTTCTCTATAGTTGATTTTTCTCTACGCATTTTGCAATTCGGTTTTCTATTCATGAATGATGAAACAGTTGTGTGGCAGTGGATGATCCTCCAAATGAGGATCCTTATAATTATGTTCAAAATGATTAATAATGTTAATTTTATTGTTTGTTCGTAATTATCTCTCGGTAAAAACAATTGAAGAATATTTGTGATGAATCCGATTGGGTGTTTGTTTTTATAATTATAACATAGATGAAAATTATCTTTTTGACTTATTTGAAAATTTGACAATTGCCTATATAATTATTTGAAAATTTGATATATAATTTATAAAAATATATATTTATAATGATAAATTTATATGTAAAAATTTTTAATATTTAATATATATCATTTTAATAATAAAATTAATACATATAATAATATGGTATTAACAACATTGATTCAAACACTAAAGTTCAAACACTAAAATTACCGACGAATCATTAAATACGAACCCTGTTTCTATGGTCAGGTCCCTTTGAATTTTCTGGTTGTGTTTATTTTTATTTTACAAGATAATGATTAAAAAATTAGTAAAATTAATTTGTTAACAATTGAAATTTCTTAAAATAATAAATATTTCACCCCGACTATTAAATCATAAATTAATAGAATTTACAGTGATGGCATAACTCGAAATCTGACCACCACCTCACTCAATCCCTAAAGCTTGGGAACAATCATTGTTACTCATGCCCGGTTGGTTGGTTGTAGTTATTGAATTAGATAGCCAATAGCTTTTCCATCCACGTCACAAACTATGCCAGGCAACCGTACTGGTGAAGTTCAGTCAAGAAACCAGAATCACAGTCCGCGTCTAAACAACCAATCAGAATTGGGGAATGAAGTCACAGACCCAATAAGATGCATCCACGTGGACATCCCACGTCTTTCCTCTTATAAACAAAAGGGAAACGAATTTTCCTAAAAAAAAAAACAAAAGGGAAACGAATTCGGCGTACTTTAACCGTTGAACCGAACTTTCTCGTTTCGTTTCCTTTCTTCCCCGCATTCCTTCTCTGCTCTCTGATCTCCTCTCTGCTTCCACTCTCTTCCAACCTCAAATTTCGAGAACCAGAAAGAAGGAGAAGAAGAACGAGCGAAAGTCCGCTCCTGAACGCCGTCGCAATGGAAGTTCATGGAGCCGGATTCCGACGAGTGTTTCTGTTAGCATTTTGCGTCGCCGGGATCTGGGCTGCCTATATTTACCAAGGCGTTCTTCAAGAAACTTTGTCAGTGTTTCCACCATTTTACTTCCGTTAGATTTTCTATTTTGTTATGCTTTTCTGTGGATTTCGTTTATTTAGAGCTCTTTCATTTTGATCTTGTTTCCGCGGAATCGGGAATCAGCATTTCGTTTGATGTTAAATAATCCGTAGGGATTTCTCCATGTTTGATCTGTTTAATTCGAGGGATTCAATTGCATTTTTCTCCATTAAATTTCTCTTAGGTCAACCAAGCGATTTGGTCCGGATGGGAAGAGATTTGAGCATCTTGCATTCTTAAACTTGGCGCAGAATGTGGTCTGTTTGGTTTGGTCATATATAAGTGAGTTTCTCTACAGCACTTTACCTTACAATTTGCTGAATGTAGATGGGACGGCTAATTTTGTTGTTTTTGTGACTAATAAATAGTGATAAAGCTCTGGTCCAGTGGTAGCAGCGGTGGTGCTCCTTGGTGGACTTTCTGGAGTGCCGGCATTACAAACACAATTGGTCCTGCGATGGGTATAGAGGCATTGAAGTACATAAGCTATCCAGCTCAGGCATGTCTAACAACTTCCCCGAACTTGAGTTGCTCTCATGTTCTAAGTTACCAGCTTGACTACATTACAATTTATTGACTATGATGATGTAGCATTGAATTTGGAAATTGTTGTCTCTAATGCTAGTTGAGAGCTAATATAGATGGAGATGTATATAGAGTACGTTTAACAATCAGGGGTTCTAGTCATCCTTACCATTTTTGTTCCAATCTAGTTTCTTTAATTGGTGAAATACCTTTATATTTAGTTATTATGTCTAAGTTGTTAGCATTGTTGGTTCTACATTTTTTTTATTTTTTTGATTATTTTGATATTCCAGATTTCCGGTAACCTTTGCTAAGTGGATTGGTTCTAAACTAATCTTCTTCTTACTTGCAGGTCCTGGCAAAATCCTCAAAAATGATTCCAGGTGAGATATGTTTATTTCTCTGATAAAACTCACTTTGAGAGGGGGGGGGGGGGGGGGTTGGGAGGAATTTGTTGCAACGTGACATGTAGTTATTTTGTTATTTCATCATGGTTGCTATAGCCCTTATGAATTTGCAACTTTTAACCACATCTCTCGTCTGATTTCGTTTTCTAATTGTTGATAATTGAAATAGATTGCTAGGTGATTAAACCAGTTGTGATTGTTATCCGTTGAACCAGCCTAAGACTAACATAATTGTAGCCCAAACATGATGGGGGATTGTAATTTATTTTCGTGTATTGGATAATAGATCATGCTATATTTTTTATTGATTTGAGGTGGATGTAGTTTCAGTTTTAAATGAAGAGTTTCCTCTAATGTTTCTTCTGGGATAACTAATGTTACTTTTCCTGTATTCAGTCATGTTGATGGGCACTCTGGTTTATGGCATACGATACACTTTTCCGGAGTATCTTTGTTCTTTCCTTGTTGCTGGTGGAGTATCTGCATTTGCACTTTTGAAGGTAAAGATTGTGTGGTGGTTATATTGTTTAACCAGAGAAACCCTATGAGTTTGTTTTTCTTTATTGAATAAGAATTTCTTGCTTGTTATGATACACTAGAGATATGCCGTGGCTAGTTATGAAAGTTGTGTTCTGATTCTTATGTTTTTTTCATGCGTTCATGGACTTATTTCAGACTAGCTCAAAAACAATTAGCAAGTTGGCACATCCAAATGCCCCACTTGGATATGGACTTTGTTTCTTGAACCTTGCATTTGATGGATTTACAAATGCCACCCAGGATTCAATAAACACAAGGTATGTGTTGCAAACCCATTTGCTGTTTCTATTTGGTGCATGGATAGGATATAAAATTGCAGTTCTCGTGAATTGTTCTGCCATTCAACTAAATAAGCATTTTTAAGGAAATTTTTGGGAGTAACAGCTCTGTACTAATTCTTTGAATGGGCAAATTTGGTTCATTTAAAACTTCATTTTTCTGGAAAGGTGTTGAAAAATTGTAAATGTTTTAGTCACCAAAAAGAAAAATGGAAAATTTGCAATTACTTTGGGAATTTTGCTGATTTCTTTGTATCCTTAAACTACCTCTCTCATCCTCTCTTCCATTTATTTGTCTGTCATTGAGATGAATGAAAATATTTTGTGGGCTGCTTATGCTCATTGATTTGAACAGACTTGAAACCCACCACTTGTTGCATTTCTTCTAATGGGGTTGAGAGTAGAACAGATTTGAGGCTTGCAGTAATTGGCTGATGCTAGAATGTTATGCTAGCATTGATCACTAAAACTAAAAGATGTGTGCTATGCTTGATTTGATGAAGATAAATAGTAATATTTCTTTCTGATAAGTAGAATATTTGTTTTCAGATTCCCTTTGTGGTCTACAAAAATTGATTGTGTGCTGAATGTTAGAAGATAAAGTTGAAATGTATATTCTTCTTTTTGTCTGTATCTGGACCTCTCAATCATATGACATACTTTGCTTAGGTATCCAAAGACGACTGCTTGGGATATAATGTTGGGAATGAACTTATGGGGAACCATATACAACCTGATCTACATGTTTGGCTGGCCACATGGTAGCGGTTATGAGGCAGTCCAGTTCTGCAAGCTGCATCCAGAGGCTGCATGGGACATTTTTATCTATTGCCTATGTGGTGCTGTGGGCCAGAACTTCATTTTTCTAACTATTAGCCGATTTGGCTCTCTTGCTAACACAACTATTACCACAACACGCAAATTTGTCAGCATTGTGGTTTCTTCTCTTCTGAGTGGCAATCCACTGTCTGCAAAGCAGTGGGGCTGTGTAGTGATGGTCTTCTCAGGGTTGTCATATCAGATCTTCCTGAAGTGGAGGAAAATCCAAAGGCTGCAGAAGAAGAGAAAGGCCTGAAGATGACCTGTTACAGTTTTGCACTTCACATTTCTCTTTTTTTTTTTTTTTAAACTGCTCCCGGTGGGTAGTGCCATATTATATATCAATCACCCTTTAGTTTTGTCTTATTGGCCAGAATTTGTACCCCTAAGGTCCAATGATCACAAATTTAGATACTCAGAAATATATTAATGTAACAGAACAGAGATCTACTGGAATCTCCAATTTATATTGATGTGTTGGAATATTCATTAGCTGAAGTAATACCAAATATGCTTTTGGAGGGCAAATGCAGAAGACCTTCATTTAATGATCCCTAGTTACTCTTTCAAAGTTGCAGCAGATATTGTTTCCCTTTCCTATGAGATGTTTGGGGTTCAAACCCCGATCATCATCCTCTACCTTTTTGGGTCAACGTCTTAATATTTGAATGAAAAATCTTTTCTTTTGTTTCCCTTCCTTTCTTTATTTCTCTCAACCTAAACATATTAACCTTTCACATACCAAACAAACCCCGTGATACTCTGAGATGTGAGATCCAAGATCTTCAATGGTTTGGTCATCAAGCTTCAAAAGTAAGAATAAAAGAAAAAAAAAAAAATCATGAATGGTTGGTTAGGTATGATGAGATTGCTCGGATGTTGGGGTCAAAACAGTCAAAGGGCACCATGCCTCCAGCAGAAAGTTATAGCCCATTGGTGCACTTTATTTTGTATGAGGTTCCCTCCTCTTCTTTTACCAGTAGCTTTTTGTTTTGGTCATAATTACACTTGTCCTCCACTACACCCAATCCTTCCACCTTCCCCAACTATCACCCTTCTTCCACCCCCTCCAATTTGTTTTATATTGGAAGAACACAGAAGGCAAGCGGGGAGAAAGATGAGAAAGGAAGAGAAGTCCAACTTATCCACGAGTAAGCTGCCTTACATTTTAAATTTTCATATGTTAGTTTCAGGTTCTTTCCTTTGAAGAGAACGAAATTTTCTTGAAATCTGATTCTTAAGACTTTTTTTTTCTGGAAATTATGAAAAATGTGAAGAACATGCAATGCACTAGTTAGTAGGGGCTAGCTATCTGAACTGTTTTCTGGCTTCTTTTTCAGTTCTGTTGCCCCCAGAGTAGGGAAGGCATATAGCTGAGAATTTCAGCTTCATGCATCATTTGTAGTATGCTTTCTAATTCTGCTGGAGCATAGTGTCACATCTTTACCATTCAGATTTGATGATGAAGTAATTCAAGGAAATTTAAGATATATAAGAAAAAAGAGATACACACCAAAGCCATTACATATATTCTCTCAGATCACATCTAGTCACATTACATTAGATATCAATGGAGAAAGGAAAAAGCAAGTGACTTATTCTATACCCTGTTCACACTCAAAAACAACTCATAAGAATCCATTCAACTGGTTAATCCCCTTGTTCTTCCGTCTCTCTCTCTCTCTCTCTCTCTCTTTTTTTTTTTTTTTTTTTCTTCTTTCTGTTTCATTATCATATATGGGCAAATTGCCGATGTGTAGTTACACTCCAAGGAATTTATGTTGTAGGTTCTGTACAAAATTACAAATCAAAGAAAAACTGGATATTAAGAAAGGAGGACATATCCGAAACCGCTCGGATGAGAAGACAAACAAAAGAATGAGACACACTAGTTATGAAGCACAAACTGGTGAGTAGTCAGGTAGTACTCCTCTAGTAGAAGAAGGAAAAAGGGAGAAAATGAAAACTCATGACACCAGGTTAGATGTGTCAGGTAGGCTCGAATGTTCCATAACATTCCAGACCAGGGAGATCACAGATCTTAAAATGCCTCCTTGTAAAACTTCAGGCTAGGATGGCTGCAACCCAACAAACCCAACTTAGAGAAAAATAGAAGATATATAAAAACTCAATATGAGCTATGTTGCTCAAGAAACTGAACTATGAGAAAGGTTGACTTTAGACCGTTTAGACATCAGTATGTGAGACTATCAGAGGGATTATAGACTATGAAGGAGGGCTCTTTTGCAGGGTGGTGGTTGTGAAGTGGTGTTGCTTGGATTGGGACAAGGGGACTCCATTCCAAGTGTTTTTAGGAGGAAGCTCCTCTCCTGATAAAGAAAAAGAAAACAAAAAATAAAAGCAGTCAGCTAAAACCAAATCTGAGATATGTATGTGCATTATATAGCTAAGTGTGAGTGTACTTATTCACATATAAACCAATATTCAGGAAAAGAACTGTGGGGAGAGCAATACTTTCCAGCTGGAAGACGAAAGCATAATCTAATTAAGGCAATATCCAGGAGCACACTTGGCCTCCCTCACATTCTTATCATTTCTCCTGAAACCTAGATGGTCCGATGTCATGAAATGTTAACAATCATATTTTAACTCATCTGGCAGTTTGTAAGTACTCCTTCCGTTCCAGAATAATAGCTGTTTTTTTTATTTGAAATTTATCCTAGAATAAAATAGTCATTTTTTCATATTTTAAGGGAGACAATTTTTTCCTTCTTTAATTTTATCATTATCTTTTGACTTTAAGTATTCATTATACCATAAAAAAGTCTCTTTATTTTTATTTCTTTTTTAAAGGTAACATAGGTAAAAATATTAATTATCCTCAAATCCTTAATCTAAAGATAAAATCAAAAAACATTTATTATTCTGGGACAAAGGGAGTAATACAAGTATAAACTTATCTGACTGTTAATTGAGCCTTGGTGTTTTTGTTATTTTTGGGATGTTGGATAATAAACTGCACTTACATGCTGATAATTGTTTGGTTTCTTTATTTACCTCTTAAATTCAGGAAAAATGGAAGGTTAGATATCTGACCTAAATGGTTGAGTACTGTCAATGTGTTAAATCAAAATAAGAATTTCTGAAAAGTTTTGCAAACAAAACAGACTAATAACTGTACCTTAGAACTTATCAAAAGAAAAATGAAGTACAAAAACAAACCTTACCTGAAACTTGGTTGAGTATCAGTTTCTAATTTTTTTTTTTTTTTATTGTCATTTGGTTTTACAATAATTTGCCTTTAATATTTCTTTCTTCTTCTTTTTTGGGTCTTCAATATCTTTTTCTTTTTGTTAGTAGTATTTTGATTCATTTTCTGTCAGCAGGCCTTCTACCAAGCTCTGAATGTCGGCCATTTGGATGTAACTTGATTACATTGTATGGCTTTGACAATGTTCAGGTTAAACTGTCATGCTCTAGATGTCAAACTACACTGCTAAGATTATTGCACTTAACTCGTCTTTAATAAGAGGTTCAAACTAGCTTTCTTCTTCTTCTTCCTTTTTTTTTCCTGGAGTAACAAAAATTCTTGTAATTGATCCCATTATAAAAACCTACAGAAATACCAATTTGCTACTCATTTCATATTACATAGAATCCAGATAACTACAGTCACCTTCGGCCCAGTCATGCACTTCATCCTGCCTACCCTCATATTCCACCAAAGCAGATCTTCTTGCTAGATCATTGTTTGGACCATAACCATTTTTCTAACAAAGTCAATCCTAATTAACAAAAATTCTTCTCTTTTATCATTGACTTCTCCATGCTTAAAGGAACCCTTTATTTTAAGCACATCCAGGCTTCTGATTTACAGGAGTGCTTAGAGCAGCCAACCTGCTACTTCTGCCTATTATATTACTACTAGCATTTTTTTTTCTTTTTTGGCCTTTGTATTACTACTAGCTTCAGTAGAAGAAACATCCTATTAATGAATGCCAAATGATAATGCATTAGAATGGCCCCTTGTAATTTCTCATTGCTAGATAAGTATTGTTCCTGTTGATCAACTTATTCATTTACTAATCAATAGTCTTAGCTATGGGATCAATAACTAACTAAAAAAATTCAAGAAAAAACTTCACCAATCACGATCATCCTTGTCAAAGACACTAGTATCACTTACCAGTAAAATCAGTAACTTTGAACTTTCCTACCTCAAAATGCTCCCCAAATTTTAATTAAAAACAATTTCAGATCTTAATAATTATGGAATTAATCAACTTGAAATGGTCCAAAAAATAAGTCAAACTTCTTCTACAGCTACTTCAATGATACAAAACTCAATTTGTTACTACCATTATTGGTAAACTAGAGAATTGATAAGTTCGCAATCCTCTAAAGTTATGGATGTTAATAGAAAGAAGATACTAAGGAAATGTTACAAACTACAACCAGTTTCTTCAAATGTTTTAGTTTCTGCTATAGCTAAAAATATGGATTAGTAATTAGTAACATCAACAGTATTAGAAAACTGAAAGCGAGACAGAGAAGAAAAGGTAGTTTAATGCAACTTACACTTTCTGAAAATTTGGGGCTTGGAATTCCTGCTGCTAGTGATCTGAACATAGGAGTAACTTGGATAGGGGAACTGAATTCTGTACTTGATGGAACTGAAACAACTCCATCATTGTTTGTTTGCCCGTCAAAAGATGCGAATATCTCTACTACAAAAGGTTAAGACATTTCATCAAAAAAAGACAACATTGTTGGGTTTTATCAGATTATGGTAAGAAGTAACGGATTCTAGGTCCTCATAGTGAACTAAAATCCATTACCTTGATTTGTGTTTGCATCAGAAAGAATCCCTTTCTCCTGTTCACGCATGCAATTCTGCATGCCAGTATGAATTGTTTCCAATTGAGTTCTAATATCCTGATGCAGTGCAACCGTCTCAGTTTGAGTTTGTTCTGTCTTATCACCAGCTGGATGGGGCAATAGGGTTGATCCTGTGCTATATTCTGAACTGGCTGGAGATGCCTCATAAAGATCGGGTTGCCTACATGTTAAACATCATTTAGACATTTAAAAATAAATGTAACCTGATTGAATCTGAATACTAGATGACCTAAGTTTTATTACCTCAAAGACGGATGGCTTCCCTCATTACTACTTCTTAAGTCCTCTATCAAGTCTTTGAAATCTTCAAGGTGAAAATCAATATCAGAGACTTTAAATCCAACGATGTCATTTTCTTTGCTTTGATTCAAGAAACCTTGAAGAACCTGGACATCATAGAATGAAATGAGATAATGTAAGGGATATGTGATATTTGTGTGCATGATTATGATGTTCTTAAATTGAAGAGGAACTCGGCAATGCTCTAGTGCTCAGGAACAAAATAAGGAATTTTTTTGCCTTTTGCACATTATGGAGTGATCAAGAGAAGAATTTCAGCATATGCATGTAGTTTGGCATAGAGAAGTAAAGAGATCATAGAGCAAATGCAGAGGCATGATTTCTTGAGGTCATCACTGTTTCTGATATTATGCATTAACTGACCGTTAGTCCCAATATCTTTGAGCCATAGCGCTAACTAAATCTGAGGCCAATTTAGTTGAGCACATTCCAAATTGGTAACATATAAACATAAAGAAAACACAATTTCTTCTGACCTTCCAAGCATTTTCCAGGCTCTGCTCTGTGTTCTCGGTATTAATTTTTGTTGCAAGTGAGCTGAGCAACTCTGCTTGCTGCATCAAAGCACTTATCTTTGGATCATCCTTTTTCAGAAAAGTTCCTTGAGTCTTATTATTCTGATCTGCTAAGGAATTGAAAAGAAAGATAGCATTGCATTTTAATGTGGTTTTGTGGACTGCAGATCGTCAAGACAAACTAACCAGTATGCAAATTTAGAAAAGAAAAACAGAAAACATAGTTTTGCTCAAGTCTGAAGTGTTTTCACATTCTCATTAAATTTATTTCTCCATTTATGCTTTTTTCCGCTTTACAGGTATCATGATAGCAATATGATCAAAGGTAAATTACTAAAAACTTTACCATTATGCGGGAGCTCCTTAACATTGTTGACTTGATGCTGCATTGCCATTTTGCTAACATTCTCTAGGTTTTGACCCAATACAGCAAACGGGGTTCTTAGCTCTGGGTTAATTATGGTTCCGGATAACTTATGTGATCTATCCTCAAAGTTGCAATCTTGTGTGGGATCAGATATGTGGGTCCTCCTGAATTGAAACAAGAAAAGTTATTACTTTGCAGAATGTTGAAATCATTGCTGGCCTGGTCATTCCCTTTATTATCAATATCTCCAGTACCTTGGTCTCTTGGCAGGTTCAGTATGTTCTCTTGTTCCATCTGTATTCAACCCATTTTGTAGTAAAATCCTTTCGTTATTCAGGTTTATGTATGAATTACTGTTCTCTTTTGCTAAGGCCTCATACTTTGCCCTCTTCTTACATAGCGTGGAGAACCGATTTTTTACAGCATTGTCCGTCCTGAATTAGTGGCACAATTAGTGAAACATGTTACATAAATAGTGACTGCTTAAAAGAGGCTGCATTTTCAATCAAAAGGGAGAAAATGAAGGTTCATATACCTGCCTGAAACCACCTTGGCAATTTCTGTCCATCTATTACCAAATATCTTTTGAGCCTGCATGTATCCTTAAAATCATCAGCACATTCAACAATTTGGCAAACACTTATCCAAGGTGAAATTTTGTAAATGATATAAAATTCCTTTTAGAAAGATCAGGAAGTCGAGCAAGTAGAGATCATCATCTCCTAGAGCCAAGAAGACATGTCTGTACTACCCCATAGCCTTGGATATAGAGATAATGAAAGTGACTTTTCTTCCAAAGCATAGGACCAAGAGACCAATTTTGTGAGCAATTAATGGATATTACTGAAGTAGTCTCACCCTAGTTGAAACAAAAGGTATAGATTATACCTCACATAAGAGCATATCTTCCTCAGGAGACCATCCCCCTTTCTTGAAATCAGAATTCAGATATGTGAACCATCTGTGCCATTATCATACCAGACGCATTAGATTAAGGAACAAAATGGATGCAACATATGAGGATCATTTAAAAAACACTCATTCTCATCTAATCTAACCTCCTTCTGCACTGCCTTGTTGTTTTATCCTTGAATTTCGACGCAATGATCGGCCAACTACACACAAAGATCATCATAACAAAATCCCCCACATCAATTACCATTCACAAACACTAGATAGAAAAAAAGCAAGAACAAAAATCTTATACTAAAGAAAAAAAGAACAAATACCCACTTTTCAGTTCCATGTAGACTAATTTGCTCTCGAAGTATGTCATCTTCCTGCAAACCATATAAACCTCATGAGAGAAAGAGCAAGGCCCCAACTGAATTAATAAAAAAACTGAGGAAAAAGATGAAAAATGGGACCTCTTGAGTCCAGGAAACTATGTGGCGCTCCTTCTTCTTGTTGGAATCTTGATTTCCATTTCCCCCATTATTCTTCTTGGTGTCCTGCATTCTTCACCCACTTAAGCTCTTCCCTCCGCTCTCCTCAACGCTCCTTCCCCTTTATTAAAACCCACTTGCATGCTAAAGCCAAAACCTTCCTTCCCCTTTATAAAATCAAAAAGAAAAAAAAAATACCCAAAAAGGAATCGACACTTCCCTCTCTCAAGAAGTTTGTTCTCTGCTCCTACTCTTCGTCCCCTCCCTCGGATTCTGACTTTTTTCCCAATAAAAATGAAATCTTTGAAGGTGGGTGTTTTCCTTTTCGATCTCGAAATCCGAGGAAGAACGGTGTACTTTGTTCTTCTTTCCACTGTAATTTGTAATCTAAATGTATGAATGTATGTAAATTGGATCTAAAAGGAAAGAAGAGAGAAAGTGATATGGTGACCTATAGGATCATTGGGTTTTTGGTCTAGAAAGGAACTTTTTGAATAGTTTCTTCTCTCTCTTAGAATTGGAAAGGAGAAATTTTTTTAGGAGAGAGAAAGGTTGGAAAAAAAAAAAAGGTAATTTAAAGCAACGGATCGTTGGTGTAGTGCGCGGGTATGAGGGAGAATTTGAAAAAACGCTGAAATCCATGACAATGCTATTAATGAGTGCTGCTCCCGATCATGCCCACACACACATTTCATCATTCGCACCATATTTTATGTTGCTACCATGTCTCTCATAATATTAGCGTTTTCTATATCAAATTGCATTTATGATAAAATATGAAATTTTAAATAAAGTTTAATAAGAGTTTTATTTTTTTTATATTAATAGTTTATATTATGTAATGAAATAGACAAAACTTTAAATTTACTCTTCAAATAGGGGTAAGAACACATTCATTTTTTAAAAAAAATAGAGCTAAATTATCTTTCGAAATTATAAATCGAAATAAATTATTTATTTTTTAATGTGTAATGTCAACTTTTCATTAAAAAATATTTATAAAACAAACAAAATTCTTACGTCACACGTTAAAAATTAAATGATTTATCTCAATTTATAATTTAAAAGAGTAATTTATTCCTATATAATTTTGAAAGGTAGATCTATCATTATCCTTATTTGAGGAATGAATTTGAAACTTTTGTCAATGAAATATAATTGAAAATTACTAAACACAAATTTAAACAAAGTCATATTAGTGGTGTGAAAGAAATAAAGTAAGTCAATACTTCATGATTTATCTACAAAGAAGACACAAACTTGATAATAGACGGAAATGTTTAAATTTTACCAACTAAAATTCTAGTATACTTAAAATAAGAGTTTTAAGGGACTTATTCGAATACAATTTAAAATAATATTAATTTCTTTCTACCTAGTGTCGTAACAAAATTGATGAAAGAATAGCTAACACACTTTTTTGGTATTTTGAGATTATATTCACACAACTTTTTCTTCGTAATATCATACACAATATGACTAACATTAAAATAAATAGAGAAATACAATATTATATGTTATCTCGTAAGTAAAAAAAGTTAATATTTTTTTATATAAAGATTAGGAATTAAATTTTATACTTATAATTAAGATTATAGATAATTCTACTATTAAATCACTTAATTAATTGTTAATGATACGTCAATTGTTATGTCATATTATGTGTGATATTATGTAGAAAACATTGTGCACTTAGCTTTTTTTTTTTTTTCTATGGAATATATAATAAGTGACAATTTCGCTTTCCTTTAATTGCTCCATCCACTTTAAAATTTTGAATTTAAAATTTTAAATATTTTTTTCTTTTTATAAATTAGATGATCAAGATTATATAACAAGTAATAACTTTTTGTACCCAATTCTATATATTATAGGTAGGAGTACTCTTACACTATATTTAATTTAATCTTTATTTTAGCCAACAAAAAAAATACACCAAGTAATAACTTTACCCTTCCTTAATTCTTCTTATAGGTTTTAAGAACTTAAACTAGGAATATCTAATTTGAAATTTTATATTTCTAATCATATAAACATCCCTTGAGATGCAATTAATGCAAATTAATTTTATCAAAAAAAAAAAAGAAGAAAGAAAACTACTTCTAGGAGAGTATTATCAATTTTAAAGGGTTCGCGACGATCTTCGTGACCCAACAGCTCAGAATTTGCATTTAAATCAGATTCAAAATTTGGTTTTGGTTTATTTCCAATTATTACAAGTTTCATGCAATTTGAACTATTTTCTTTTATATATACGTACGAGTATAAGTACGTGGGATAACCATAACATTGGAGGGAATGATAATCGCAGGCGATACGAAGTTTACCTGGAGATCACGCGCAGGTTTATTG